ACTCCTTTTCTTGTTAGGATCTCCTGCCATGGGACCTTACTTATCCTTGTTCCGAGATTATTAAAATTGGCTTTTTTAAAATCCAGCAGAAGTGTGCAGCTACACTCTGCTTTTGTTTCCTTTGAAATCAAGTATTCTATAAGGACTTAGTCACTCTCACCTAGAGTTCCCCTTACTGCCACTTCCCCCACCAAGTCATCTCTGTTGGTCAGAATCAAGTCAAGGATAGCAAATCCTATAGTTTCTTTCTCCACTTTTCGTAGGAGAAAATTATCAGCCACACAAACCAGGAATTTCTTGGAAGGGCCATACTTGACAGAATTTGCTTCCCAACATATACTGTATCTCTATAATTGAAATCTCCCATCACTACTACATTGTGTCTCTTTGAAAACACTGCAATTTGTTTTTCAAAAGTTTCATCCTCTTCCTGTCTTTGATTGGGTGGTCGGTAGTAAAAGCAGAGACATGGTCCTAAAAACCAAATCCCTCTGTCAGCACCACCTTCGTAGCCAGTCAGGAAGAAAGTGGGCCTTCCCTGAATAAAATATACCCCTTTGCACCCTCTGCAAATTCTTTTGATTCAAATAGACCTATTGTTGTTGCAGCTTACACACTGTTAAGCACTATTCATGAGGCTTACTTCGCTCCTGTACCTTCTCCTCTGTGCTCAATACTGCCTTACTCATATAAGTAGAAAACATTTGAAAGATGGTGGAGGGACAGAAGTGAAATAAGCTGCATATGCTGTTATTATTGTAGTGTTCAATAGGCTACAGTTCTGTTTCAATCAGATGGCTAATAGTCTCATTGAATTAATGTAAAATTAAGCCTGTTAAACAACCACAGGCGACTGTTTAAGAAACATTTAAAATTAAGCCTGTTAAACAACCACAGGCTTAATCCTATAACAATAGACAATCAAGGTTTAAGGAAAAAAATGCTGGGGAAGTACCTAGGAAGAATTTGTTAATTGGGCGTTTCTGCTTCGTACAATTTTTTTAAAGGCTTGCATTTAGCCTTACAGAGCTTTATCTTTAAATTTATTGATTTGCTGCTAACCACAGAAAATAGTAGGAAACCACCATTTTTACACCTTATTTTTTGGGGGGGGGCACTGGGGGCCGCATAAGAGACCTTCAAGGGATGTGTATGACTTATAGATAGATAGAAGTAAGATTTCCTAATTCATTTCCATATATTTTATTTGTATCTCACCTTTCCCTCCAAGAAACAGACTCAAGTTGAGACAAGCGCAGCTAAAAACATAATAAACAACATTATTATTTTAAAAGCACTTAACTGTATTATCCTATTAAAACCACTGAATAAACAACAATTGAAAACAATGTAAATGCACAATAGAAAAGGTTTACTTTTTAAAATTATCTTCTCTTAAAATCCTTGCTTGGCAGCCGGTCAGCTGCCCAAAGTCTGTCTCAACAGAAAGCATTTTTCACTGTCAAGTGCAAGGATAAAGTGAAAGGAACTTGTCTGGATGTACCTGGGAACTCCGCTGAAAAGGCCCTGTCATCACTGTGCATCTTGTGAGGGTGGTGGAGCCAGCAGAAAAACCTCCCTGAAGACCTTAAAAACCAGGAAGGCTCATATGTGGAGATGGTTTAGGTCTTCATATCTCATAATCAGCACTTTAAAGCATGATGGTCAATGAAGCTAAGAAAGAAAGAAAGAAAGAAAGAAAGAAAGAAAGAAAGAAAGAAAGAAAGAAAGAAAGAAAAGAGAAAAGAAAAGAAAAGAAAAGAAAAGAAAAGAAAAGAAAAGGAATTTCTGTTCTCCCTCCTGTTGGCTCTAGTCAGCGGTCCGGCCACAGCATCTTGGACTCACGGAAGTTTCCAGACACTTTCCAAAGGCCGCTCTGCATAGAGCACATTCTAGTCGTCTAAATGGGATGTGACCGTGCCATGTGTCATTATGAGTAGATCAGATCTCTCCAGATAACTGTTATCACTACATTGAAGCACTGACAGGATCTCAAGAGACCTGTTCCTCTCATTCTCTCCCTCCTTCCTTCTCCTCCCATCAGCGCAGATGGAAATGAAGTCAAGAGTTAACAAACTAATTTGTGTTCACCAGAATATATTTAGAACATCTACGTACAGTGGAGAATAAAATGTTGTCCAGATTGACCGTGTTCAAGAAAAGAATGAGGCTCTTCTTTAAAGTGAGCGAGAGCTGCTCTTTCAGAGGGGATGGGAGTGATGCTCGTGCACAAGAGGAAAATCCACCCAGAGGGGTTCAGTAATAACTAAGAACTCCAGATTGCCTCTGTGAGTCAAGAAACAACATTGTGTATACTATATTCAGTATAATAAATATAAAAAATAACTACAACTAGAAATAACCACACACACACACACACACACACACAGAGAGAGAGAGAGAGAGAGAGAGAAGACTTTGTCATCCTCGGGAGGGTCACAGCCCCCCAGAGTGGGAAAGTGGTCTAGATAGACCTGTTGTTAGAGGTGAACAGATTCAACAGCGGTCTAGATGTGCTTGTTACTAGAGGTAACTTAGAATGCTATGTGTTTTGTTCAGTAAAATTAGAGCCAATGTTCCCTTTTAGGTTGGGCAGGTGCACAGGCACACCCAACTCTGCCTCCCTCCACGCAGCTCTCCTCCTCCTCCTCTGTGCAGTGATCACATTCAACCCCTTTGGTTCTGGTCTCCATGGAACCCTGCGGGGGGGGGGAGTTGTGCGAGAGCAAGGAGGAGCCCCATTCAGCAGGGCTGAAAATTTGGTATGATGATCAGAGCATAAATACACATCTGTTTGCAGTGTGAAAACAAATGTTAGGAAACATATCGGCGGGAACCTAAAAAGCAAATAGTTGTATCCTTATATAAGGAGTTTTCTATCCAGTATTTGTAAATGTTAGTAGAGGTATGCAGATCTGTGGTTTTTTTTAAAAGAGTACAACTCCTAGAATACCCCAGTTGTCTGGGGAATTCTGGGAGCTGTAGTCTGAAAAACACAAATCTGCACACCTCTACTTTTACCTTCCCTACATTGTGAGTGGAGCACATGAGCTGTAAAGCCTACCCCAGTTTCATCCCCATCATGACTGAAAGGGTTCAAGGCTGAGAGCTATCATGTTATGTCTATGTTGACTGAGGTTTTTTTAGTTTTATTTATTTATTTATTTATTTTATACCCCGCCCCTCTAGACCACGTCTGCTCGGGGCGGCTTATAGCATAAAATAGATCAATATAAAAAATGTAAAAATACAATTACAATATTAATTAAGGCAATTAATTTAAGAAAAGAGTACCAAGATGGGATAGAATAAGAAAAGAGGAGGAGAAAAAAAAGACTTAGCTGACTGGAGGGAAGGCCTGCTTAAATAGCCAAGTTCCCAAACTACCCAAAGGTCTCTGGACAGCTTTACCATTTCTCATAGTAATATTTGTTTGTTCCTTTTTTTATATTTGTGTACAGTACTTAATATTTTTAGCTTTAATATTATCTTTTAGTGATGTAATGATGACGCTGTTGTATACTCATTGTTTTCAGCTTTAAATATTATAAGCCGCTTTGGGTCCTTTAAAGGAGAAAGGCAGGGTAAAAATATTTTTAACAAACCAACAAGCATCTTACAACCACCAGTGTGCTAAGAATATTTTTTTCCCCTTTCCTTTCCTTTTTCAATTTGAAAAGCAGGCAGTAATGGTCTGCTTTTTAAAAAAGTTCAAAAAAAACAACCAGCTACCAAAGAAGGAAAATAAGAGAAATAATGTATTGATTTACCTTTTTATATATCCTTTTCTTGAAGTGTGTTGTTATTTTTTGTATCTGATGAAACATGTAACTTGCCAACAAGTTAACAATGCATGCCATACAAGGGGAGTGTTATTGTCTGACATATGAATAATTCTGTGTTTTACATTTCACATGTCAAGATGCTCTCTTTATGTCTTAAGTGATTTACTCTGTATAGGTGGAGAAGCATGTCACATAGATTTGGATTTTGGGGGGGTGAGGGTTGTAAGTAACTTGCCCAACAAGTCAGATTGGTTGCTTACAAAGAATATCTCTTCATGCACAGCTGTCAAATTCAGCTTCATTGGAAGGAAGAGGACAGTTAAAGTTTACCTCTGGACGATGGAGTCCCCACCATAATTGTACTCAGGTTGCCACAGCAAATGACACCGCGATTCGCGGATGGGATATACGAACGATGAAGTAAGACATGTCTTCCTTTTTTACAAAACAGAAAACAAAAAAAGATTTCTAAAACCTTTCGAAAAACCTTTTTGTGACAGTAAGTTTCTGCCTTAAAAACAAATAGCAGAAGTAATTATATCCTTAAAAGCTCAATTTCATAGATCTACCATGGGTTTCATAAACGGTTGCAGATGTCTGACACAGATTTTTCTTCTCGTCCTCTTTTTTCAAGCAGAAGCGCAGATCTGCTGTTACTGCAATTTCATGGTGCAACTCCCGATAGTTTGGTTACACTGTGTGAGCACCAGTCAAGGATGGAATGACATGGTTTACATTCCAAATTGGTATTTTAAAGCCGACAGACCCGGTTGTACTAATTACTGGCTTTTGACAAGATTGAAGTCATCTTTTGGTTGAGGTTTGGTTTGGTTTTGAGTGGTTGACTGAATGAACTCCCAGTTTCCATTTGATTTTTCCAATCAATTCCTGATCCCTTTTCTAATTTTCCTTATATTCCTTTTTGTCTGTTGTGATTGTAATTAAAGGAAGTTTCCCACTTATTAGGAGCCCAGCTGCTTGGCACAAAATTTATTTTGTTTTGTGGCCCATATGCACCAAGTTTTGGATGCCAGCAATCCCCATATAAGAAATCCAGGGTTGTTTCCTGCTCTAGTTGTGATTTTGATAAGCAAAGGAGTGATGTTGTGCACTTCTGTTGCCATGACAACAGAAGTCTGTGCAAGCTTTTTTAAGATACAGCTTATCCCCTTAGCACACAGTAATTTATCACTAGCCTCAGAAGACGGATGTCTTGTAATAACTTCTGCTGCCTTGAAGGGGGAGATGACTTTAAATTTAGTTTTTTGTCCCCTGCACACTCATGAGTGTAGCACTATATTTCCATTGTTTTCAATTATGCTTCTTTATTATTATTTTTTAAGAAACTGATCTATTTTCCATTAGTAAATGCTAAAAATATTTAAAATATTACTTCTTGTTACATGTTGCATCCCCATGTTACATATGAGCTACTAAGTCGTTGTTGAACCCATGGTATCATAATGGGAATGCACCACAAGGAGGTAGTAGTCTTGCATTTTGCTGAACTACAACTTAACACAGCATGCATGGGCAGAAAGTAACCCCCAGGACTTTCCAAGTTTACACTTCTCTTTCTTCCTACATGTGAGTGGAAGGAGGAATAAACCATGATTCCGCTCTTTAACCAATTCCTGGCTAGTCATTACATGGCTTGAAGTAAACTAGTCTATTAAGAATGCCAGTAAAACCACTCAGGCTTTGAGTTGACTTGTTCTAATCTTGCTGGTGTGTGTCTGTTTTTGTTTGTTTGTTTTTAATCATGTTTCCTCAGCTGTGTTTAATAAGAAGCCAGGAGGAAATGGCTGAATGGAGACTGGAATCTGGTTTATTCCTTGACCCAGCTGTGTAGGAGGAACAAGAAGGAAGATGAAGTTGTAGAACTGAGGCTTTGTCTGGGCTCTTTTCTCATTAACCCTAGATCACCGCTCTGTGTGACTGGTCTCCCCCCCCACACACACACAACACAGCTCCCATGGACCGAAAAGCCACAGCAGTGATTTATTTCAGGAGGTATCTTTAGTAAACTGCTCTGCTTCTCGACTTGTGCGCCTGCCACAGAGTTGTGTGCATGCCACAGAGTTGATGAACAAACACAGCTAAATTTATCTGCTTTTTTCTCCTACCTTGCTACTGGTTTTAATGCTTGGCTAATATAGAATCCGTTTATTTGTGCCACTGTCATTGTGAGTAATTCATCCCTTGTTGCCATGCTGTCCTCAACTGAATTTTAAAATGAATCTTGCGTCACATGGGCTCAGCAACTCTTGGGGAGGCTTGAGTTTGCAAGGCAAGGCAAGGAAGAGTTGACTGGCAGGTCATGTACGTGTCCAAAGCTGATAAAAGGAAGTGCTGCCTCTTTGGGTTCAATTGCATCTACAGGTTTTGGTGTAGTAGAAGAGAATTTGAACTGCATAGCAGTGGCAAATGTCTCAGCTCCTACTGTTCCATGGCTGACATACCAGCTCTTCCTGGCCTGAATGCAAGCCACTGTGGGCCGCCTGCCCCCACATACCTGTCTTTCTGGTGGAGAGGAAAAAGGCATCTCCGGACCACGGTGCCTCATATCTTCAATATTATGTGGGCAACCAGTCAGTCCAATCCCAGTCAGCTCAGTGTACACTCTTGATGTTCAGCCACCTCAGTATGTCGGTGGATTCTGAAGGAAACTGAGTCTGGTGACCATTTTTGGTCTGCTTTCTTTTTTTTTTCCTCACGACCATCCTGTAGTTTATTATCAGCAGATTCAACTTGGAGTTCTAGAAGGAATTGCAAAGGGATACGAGGAAGAATGTATAAGTTACACTTCTGTTGAGTGCTGGGCATGTTTCTGTGTGCTGGGGGGTGGTATTCTCATCTTCCCTTCTCCGTGCTGTGCTAGTGAGAGTTTGGAGGCCCTCATGCATCTCAGTTACATTTTCACCTGATGTTCCAGGATAATTTGAATTTTTAGGGCCATCAGGTTGCATCCAACAGTCATTCCACTGGTGCAGTGCTTCTACTACTTGCAAGTAGTAGAGGTGTTCAGCACCCAGGCAAACGCTACAAGTCATCATTGATCCGAAGTGGAACAAATTAATTTTCACTGAAAACCTTCTTTCCTGTGAGCTCGGTTTTCCTTCAGACCTATGGTTTTTTCCTAAACATGTCACCTTCTTTTCTCACTGCAGCCAAATATATTGTATAGAAAATGCCCATGGGCAGCTGGTGCGGGACCTGGATTTTAATCCCAACAAACAATACTACCTGGCTAGTTGTGGTGATGACTGCAAGGTGAAATTCTGGGACACAAGAAACGTCAATGATCCAGTAAAGACGCTAGAGGAGCATTCTCACTGGTAAAGTGAATTCATCTGAAGGGAGGATTTCTTCTATTCAGTCTAATATCCTGTTTTGAAAACCATACAAGGACGTTTAGCTCATGCTGTAGATCGGGTTCCCTCCCGTGTCCCCCCCACAGAGTTTTGAAATTTTAATACAGTTTATGCATGCTAACAGCTAGCTAGTGTTTATGTTCTGAGAAGGTATTGTCCGTATTGTAAAGCAGTTTTAAAACTGTTTTTACAGCAGAGATTAGCAATTCCCTTTTGTTGAAGATTTATGTCGAAAGATTTTTGCATAGCCAAGAGACAGAACGTTGTTCATACTTCAGAGATTTTGGGGGCAGCTGCATCTGTGGCAAAATAGTTCTGCACCCTGAAGCTACTTCCGGACTGCTACTGAAGATTCAGCTTCATAGAAACACTGTTATTTATTGAGATTATTATTAAGCTACCAGAAGAGCAGAAAATCTGGAGACATTTGGTATTAACATGACACATAAATTTGAAAACACAATTAGTCGTGTTAATCCTCCCTTTGTTTTATGGACTATTTTAGCTGTTCACAGTGAGGATTTGAGGTAAATTTGGCTTTCATTTATCAAGTTAATATAAGTAATCCATGTTTTGCTTTGGGGGAAATGTTTTCTTTTCAGAAAGTCTGTGTGATGTTATACACAATAGGCAAACCTTCACATTGCAAGATCTCTTATCATTTCTGGTCTCTGCCTCAATAAAACCTGTTGATTATCTCTATAAAAATGGCCTTGCAAAAAATAAATAATGTTTAAGGACAATTTTTGGTAATTTTCCACTTATTCTATCTAGATTTTGATTGTATATAGCTTAGTTATTTACCTCCAGCTTGGCTTAACTCAGATGCAAAGAATATGGTACTGCTACGGGGCTGCTTATTCATACTTCTAGGGAAAACAGCTGAAGCAATCTTGTGATGGTCTGGCCATCCAAGGAAAAGAATAAAGTATTATTATTTTACCGTCCTGGGAGGATATACATCAGCATAGCATTTCACAAACCAGCCCGGAGTCCTCCAAAATAGGCACAGATGGCTACTGGAGGAAGGAATCCATGAAAATAGCTTTCCACCATTAGCCATCAAAGGGAGAGTCATGTGGGTAGAGTTTCATTCACAGGTAGTCTGAATCTAGCCTATTGCCTTTAAGAACTAGACTGAAGTGATCCCAAGCAAATAGTCCATAATATGTCCTCAGCAATCCATCTGTAAAATGACATTCTGGAATTTCTGTAGCATGATCACCTGGAAGATGGTCAACTGGTGGATGAAGATGATTGCCTATTTATATCAAGGATGTTGGGAAGTCTTTGGATCTGAGTCCCAAGTCTGAGTCTTTGATGCCAAGCCCTGAGTCCCAAGCCAAAACCGGAGTCCCTATTAAAAACAAGCTTTTTTTCAATAGGGAGTGAGTGAGTGGATTCACAAGTTGAGTCCAAGCTGTTGAAACACCTGAGTCTGAGTCAAGTCACCAGTGTGACGTACAGTGGTGCCTCGCTTTATGATTGCCCTGCATTACAACAAATCCGCTTAACGACGATCGTTTTGCGATCGCATTTGCAATCGCAAAACAATGGTCTAAATGGGAGAATTTCGCTTTGCGATTATCGGTTCCCTGCTTCGGGAACCGATTCTTCACAAAACGGCGTTTTTAGAACAGCTGATCGGCGGTTTCAAAATGGCCGCCGGGTAATTAAAATGGCTCCCTGCTGTGTTTAGGGACAGATTCCTCGCTATACAGGCAGCGACAATGGCCGCCATATGGAGGATCTTTGCTGGACGGTGAGTTTTTACCCTATTGGAACGCATTGAACGGGTTTCAATGAACGGATTATCGTCATTAAGTGCGGCACCACTGTAAGTCCAACTTAACAGTGACCCGCTTTATGATTATTTCGCTTAACAGCGATTTTCCTGGAATGGATTATCGTTGTTAAGTGAGGCACCACTGTAAGTCCAACTTAACAGTGAGTCCTGTGACTCAAGTCCCCATCCCTGGTTTATATGTAGTTGCACCACTGATTGACTTTTTTGATGTCTTAATGACTGCAGGGTTTGGAATGTCCGTTACAACCATTCCCATGACCAATTAGTGCTTACTGCCAGCAGTGACAGCCGGGTCATTCTGTCCAACATGGTATCCATTTCTTCTGAGCCCTTTGGCCACCTGGTAGATGATGACGAGCTCAGTGACCAGGAAGACCATCATCAAGAAGACAAGTAAGAACTTTGTTTGTTGTTAATTAACTATCTTGACTTTGAAATGAGTTCTGGTTAACTCAGCTCATGAGACAATCTCTATTGGCCTTAGGATTTTTGTGTATGCACCATACAGGTAAGTAGCTGAACTTACTTCACCTTTGCGTTGCTGTAGAGGTGGCACTTACCCTAGTTTCAATGGTGTTTTTTCTACCTTTTACACACTGGAATTCACAGGGTATCACTGAGTTGGATCAAAAGCCTGTGGAAGGAGGTCATTCACTTTCATGGGTCTCTATATTACATGGAAGGTGGAAAGGTTTTATTGTTTCTTAGTGGCATGTCTTAGAGGAACTATGTGGGTCACAAAACCACAAATTAGAATGTCTGTTATTGTTACAGTCTTACCCTGGCACACTCCAATATGTTGATTATAATTGTAAGAATCCAGTATCCATACTGACACACTTTGGGGTGCAAGATGGGCTTCTGGTGTTCCATTCTGCATTGCTCTGTGGACTACTTGGACTACCAGACACTGCTTTTGAGGTGTCCTGGGGAAGGAGGATGGGAAAAGGCCCTTAGCAGAACCCATCACTCGTACAGAATTTTTCTCTTTGTGGCCTTTTGGGTTCAATGAAATCCTGAATGTAGAGGTGGAGAAGCTTTGGCCCTTCAGATGTTTTTGATTTCCCCAGAAGTCTCAGCCAACATAGCGACGATAAAAGATGATAAGAATTATAGTTAGAACATTGCAGGGCATTTCCTCTCTTCTGCTGCTCTCTGGAGTCCTGTGGCTCTCCATGAGCTGGACTGCAGCTCCCATTTTCCCTGATCATTCCCAGTGTTGGCTGGAGCTGATGAGAGTTAAAAACGGGTGACATTTACAGGGGCACAGGCTCCTCCCCAACACCCTATTGCACCTGCTTCTTTTAAAAAAATCAAATAAAATGAGAATCCCCTTCTAATGGTAAATGTATAGACTTAAAGTCTGCTGTTTAGAAAAGTGCCATTTTAAGCCGTATGCTTAATAGCATTCATCGATTTGGGAGGATTATGCATCCTCCAAAAGCAGTTGGTTGCTTATGTGAGCTTTTTATAACACAGGAAAATCACTTTGCTATTATGTGTGATCTAGTTTATCTCTAGTAATTTTAAATGCAGTATTTCATTTCTCTCCACCAGTGAACGTAGTAAACGCTTGTTCCATCCTGTAAGCTTTTAAATATCAGGCACGTCCTAAGAGAGGGCCGTTCCCTTTTCTTTCTTTCTCATACTAAACATGTCCAGTTCATTTAAAGTTTTCCATATGTGCTTTCTTGTCCTTAAGACCTTTATAATCCTTACAGCTTTCCTCTGGATCTTTTCCAGATCTCAGCAACTGCCTTGAAGTGTCATTTACTCTGAACTGCAGTATTTAAGACAATGTTTTACCAGTGCGTAACAGAGAAGGGTTATCAGTCTTAGAAAACAATCTCCTGGTATAGAAGTATGAATAACAATGGTCTTTTATTCTGCAGCATTACATTTTGATATATACTGTGAATTGTTCAGTGTCGGCAGTACATCTTTTTTAGAAGTGTTGTTACTCACCTCTTTTCTTTCCCACTTGGATCAAGTTTACAGTTGTGAACATGTGGAGTGCTTTATTGTGGCTATTCCAGCTGTTCATTTGATTGTAAGAGTTTAGACTTTTCCTCAACGTGTTATAGGAGATTTGCAAGCCCTCCATCTGATTTTTTTATTATTCTTCAATGGAGGGTCAAATGTTATCCCCGTATACACTCTGACTGACACGGTGTAACATGTGATGTGAAACACACGTGCATAGGTCAACAATGTTTCAGTGAAAGAGGCATAACAGTACACACGTTTGAGTCATGTATCATTCTGTCTGCACCTCCCCTAACCTTGTGCTGCACTTTCTCACATCTACTCAGAAAAAGAGCCAGCTGTCTGGGTCAAACCAGCTTCTCCGTTGTCCACCATGTCCCTGACCTCGCATAAACCCAGACCAAAAGCTGAAAGCCTTTTATGTATCATAAATGTTTTGGACTACAACTTCCAGAATCCACAACCAGCATGGCCAGTGGTGGATAATTTTGGGACTGACAGCCTTGAACATGGGAAGAAGCAAAGGTCCCCAACTCTTGTGGTTCTTAACCTTGGGTCCCCAGATGTTCTTGGACTACAACTCCCAGAAATCTTGGCCAGCACAATTAGTGGTGAAGACATCTGAAAGTTTTAGTCCAGGAACATATGGGGGCCCAAGATGAGCCACTACTGTGTTAGCATATTGTGAGATAGTGAGTGGCTAGACACAGCTGCTCAACATTATCTGGACAGGCAACCAAGAACATACTGGTGGAATAAGAGGCTCACAAGAAGATATTTTACCCAAGGCCTTCACAGATCTGGAGCTCAACCATTATTGAATATGAGTCAGACTATAGAATCTCTCCAATATTCATTGTGCATGAAGTGAATCTATAGTACAGCCACAGTGTAAGAGTGAAATGAGAACTAAGGGCCATTTCACCAGCAAGAACACTCATAGTAGGGATGTATTAGCTGCTTAGATACTAACATGATCAGCATTCCAAGGCACAGTATTTCTTTTGGTTATGTGGGACCATGGAGAACAACCTGGCCACCCCTGTCCTAGCAAGTCGCAGTATAAAGCCAAGTGGATGCAATTTTAGTCATAGAGTGGATCTGAGCCATCTGTAGCCACATGTTTGAGCTTTGTTCAGTCCTACCAGAGTTCTCCTGCACTGGTCCAGTAGGGAAATGTTTGTCACATATAAATGGGTGCCGTTATTGCAGTCTCTTTAAAATATCAGCGAGAGAAATATACCTGTAGCTACACTTTAGGTCAATATGGATGGACATCGCTTGGTGAAATTCCAGAAAAATTGGGGAAGGTAAGACTCTCTAGAGGTTCAACGACCAGAAATGACTGCATGTACCCTTTATTAATAAAATATGTAAAAGAAGGAGACACCTGCAAATTTGATCGACTTTTATGGTTTCTATAGTTGTTGGATTTAACTTTCTTGACAAATACTTTTTTTTTGTTTAAATGGGGTGTTCAATCCTTCTGTAAATTTTAATATTCCACTTGTGTGCACTCGTAGTTCATCCATCACGATTCTGTCAGTCATTGAAAGGACACAATGAATGTCAGTCTCCAAATATCCTTGCTATATTAACATGCATAGCGGAAACAAAAACCACTATTTATCTCACTTTAACACTTACATTTCTTCATTTGCAACAAGCAATATCAACTATCACCAAATTATATAAATCACTGGAATGGACATAAACAATGACTGATATCCTCTTAGCGTACCTTCTATTGCATAAGGCGGATGACATAATCAAGCAGGATAATTTTTTGGAAATTGTGCATTTCCCCCTTCATCTCCTCAGGTCCCTGTGGGTCCTGAGTAATCCCTTTCGTTTTCAGGAAGCTGCAGAGGCTGTGAGATGGTAGGAGAAAGTTTTTAATTTCCAAACGTTGCTCCTGATGAGATGGCTTAACTGGTGGCAGCAATTTTCATTAATTAAAGACTTCCTCCTTCTGTCCCACAGCCCCCACAGTTTCCTGACAATGGAAGGGATTACTGGGGACTTGTAACAGCATTGGGAAGGGAGAAGAAAATGTTTAACATCTTTTTAAAAATGCCCTGGCTGATGATATAATTAGCCTTCTGCCATTGAATGTACACCAAACAAGATTTCAGTCATTCTGTATCTCTGGTTGCTTATTTGAAAGAATAGGTAAGCCCCCCCCCCAAAAAAAAAAGAAAAAGAAAAAGAAAGCACCTGGTGAAATAAAGGACTGAACTGTAATTGATGCATCTTCAACACTTCAAGGTCTAAGGAAAGCCCAAAGAGTTTGAGGCTTCCTACTTTGAGAGGCTGTCGGAATCAACCAAATTAGGATATGGCACAGAACACAAGTAACATTAGTAAAACACATTGCAAAATGACTGCAGAATATGTATTATCACTGTTTTAGATGCATGACTACCAGTCAAAAGCCATTGCCCATCTACTCCTTCCATTCCATCTTTACCTTATTATTGGGTCTTGTGTTGGTGGGACTCCTCACATTCTTTTTTAAAAATTCATATTGACTTTTTTGTTGTTGTTTTGCCCAAGTATGTCTTCTCCTTCCCCTCCTTCATTTTCCAAAAGAAGCCTTCTTGTCTATAATGGCTTCCCTGATTCTGCTCATACTGCTACCCTCGTGGCCTTGCCAGTACCTTTCCCATTCTGATGGAGTTTATAATACTTTTTATCTTCCTTGTTTACCAGCCCCACTTTTTAAAGATGTTGCCTCTTCTGAAGTCAAATGTAACCACTCTGGAGTGTCTTGGCAATTGCCCACTTTACATTTATGTTCAATTTGATAGCACTGTGGTGAGTGTTCTAGAAGGCTCAACCTCATTATTTCTCATGTTAGATCCTGATACTTGTTAGGATTAAATCTACAATGATTGTTTCTCTAGTTGCTTCCCTAACTAAATGTTATAGGACATAATCATTAAGGGTTTCTAGAAATGTTATCTCTTTGTTCTAATAAGCATATGCCTTTACTGAGCCCATGTGAGAGGCAGGCGATGTTTCCCATTTCTACAATGTCATCATCGTTGTTTGCTTTCCTGATATTTTCCTGCATCTCAATAGGACTAAATTAGTATCTGGATCTGTCATTGCCCCCAGCAGTGACCCTGTCTGCCCTGCTTAAGGCTTCTAGTTCATTTTACTTTATACCCCCTTTGATGCAGTCCTTTGTTCATTTATACACTTACTACTATCTGACTATTATTTATATGGTCTGAAATCCAGTAGTAAGTTATAACTAGAGTAGGCCAATTGAATTTGTGGTCTTTTGGTGAGTTGCCTCCTCCATAAGTTCCATTGATTCAAATGAGTGGTCTTTTCGTGAGTTGCCTCCTCCATAAGTTCCTGTTACATACAGCCTTGGCAAGTGTGCCCAGAGCAAGGGCTACTGGATTTCAGCCACTGCTTCCATGTAACTCAGGTTATCTAGCTGTCTGCTAAACAAATAGAGTGTTGACATGGAGTATAAAGTGATGTATAAGTATGTTAATATGAAAACTA